TCATTAACCAAGAACACAACATCTCTCTCAAGGCATAAGATTATGGTTGCCCGTGCTTCAAGAACTAACTCTTCCCAATCCTCATCCTTCATACTCTCAGGTTTCTGTTCTGCTAACGCCTTGTGTAACTTTTGTGAAATAAGGAATATTTAGCAAAGCTAAATATGGAAAGATTACATGTGGTTAATGCAATACAATACACTCCAGTAAAAAAATATGGAGTAATAATAGGTAGGCAACGGTTTATATTTGTCTGTAATGTAATTCACTCATTCTATAGCATATGGATTACTATAAAATGAAGCATGTTTTGTCACAACAGATATTATCAATACATATTGTAACAAGTTATTAGTTTTTCAATAAGTTCATCTTTCTTCTTAGACATTTCATTTCTTCATATAAGTTTATTGTTCTAACTACATTATTTCGTGTTCAACTTTAGTGAGGGTTGTATTTCATATTTTCCAATCTTGACGGTTCAACTACATTATTTCTACTAGTGGAACCGTCAATGTTGGAAAATATGAAATACAACCCTCACTAAAGTTGAACACGAAATAATGTAGTTAGAACAATAAACTAATATGAAGAAATGAAATGTCTAAGAAGAAAGATGAACTTATTGAAAAACTAATAACTTGTTACAATATATATTGATAATATCTATTGTGACAAAACATGCTTCATTTTATAGTAATCCATATGCTATAAAATGAGTGAATTACATTACAGACAAGTATAAACCGTTGCCTACCGATTATTACTCCCTATTTTTACTGGAATGTATTGTATTGCATTAACCACATGTAATCTTTCCATATTTAGCTTCGCTAAATATTCCTTTAATTCCACGGCAGGATACTCTTCTATCCATTGGTATATGCCTAAAACAATAGCTTGAAGACTTATTACACACACTTGAAGATTCATAATTCATAAACACATTAAACACACACCACAATCTTCTTGTAGAGGAGAGCAAAAAGAAGTCAATGGGAAATATAACACTACAACAGTTGAAAGCACAAAAAGCAAGAAACACAAGCAACACACATGATCACTTTTAAGAATTGAAGATTAGGCCTAACTCAACCTTACAAAGCCGGTTTGTAAGATGAAGATTGTCCCCGCTAATAAAAAATTGGTCAGGCCATTTAATGTTAGATGTGAGACTCTATAACATACCCCTCACACTCAAGACACTATTTGGAGCATGGATAAAAATAGTGGATATCCCAATAGAGAAAACTTGACAACATGTGGCTCAACAGATCTTAAATTGTGCTCAGATACCATCTTAAAATTGTTGGGGCCTAACTCAACTTTACAAAATTGGCTTATAAAGTGAGGATTCTTTTTGTTCAAAATTCAATTCATGTATTCAAGTAAATAGTTGAAAAGAAACTTACTTTCAACTAGTCTAAACCAATCGAAAGCAATCTTTCAACATAATTCTTGGCACAAAACCAATGTATTTTAGTCCTAATTCTAGTTTCTTCTCCTCTATTATCTCTCAATTATAGATAATGGCTGAATCATTCCTTCCCATGCCAATACGAGTGTATTACCATTCTCAAAAAGACAACGGAACAAAGCGGTTTCGAAAATAATATGGAACGGTTCTTTCACAATAGTTAGGTACAAGACTAAGGTGACCAATGCTAAGAAATTGTATCCAAGACTCTTCAACTACAAATTCACAAATTCTTTCTCCTGCCATATAAATAAATGAATCCCATGAAAATCATGAGAAAAAACAAAGGGAATCCATCAACATAATCAAAATGGTTCAACAGACGCCACCTTATCAAAACCACAAAGGGGTAAAACTAAATGTTGGTCTCTATACTCTAATGAAGGAAAACAATCAAGAAGTTGACTACATTGGACATTTCAAATGGCCAACCAGTTAATATTGTCACTCACATTGTGTGCAAATTAAAAAAGGCTTTATATGGGCTAAAGCAATCACCACGAACATAGTTTGCGAGATTCACCAAAGTTATGGTAGGTTTAGACTTTAAACAAAATCAAGGAGATCATACTCTCTTTATCAAACATTCTGAGACAGGGAGAGTAACAATCTTATTGGTTTATGTGGACATTTTAGAAACAGATGATAATGAGAAGGAGTAACAATTTTTAGGCGGACACTTAGTTAGTCAAGTAGTTTGAGATTAAGTCTTTTAGAAAATTGAAGTACTTTCTGGGAATTGAAGTTGCCCACTCTAAGAAAGGAATCTCCTCCATATCTCAACAAGCATACATTATTGATCTTCCGCATGAGACAAGTAAGATAGCATGTAAGTCTGGAAGTACACCAATTGATCCAAGTGTAAAGTTGGGAAATGCCGAAGAAAATATTTTGACTGATAAAGAAATGTATAATAGATTAGTTGAAAAACTTATATACCTATCACATACTAGACCAGATATTGCTTTTGCTATAAACTTAGTCATTAAACTCATGCATCAACCAAAGGAGATTCATTTACAAGTTGCACACCAAATTGTGCAATATCTAACTCCAAGCAGAGGAATTTTGTTTGAATGAAATGGAAGTGTGAGTCTTAAAGCATATACTGATGTTGACTATGCAGGGCAAATTGTGGATAGAAGATCAACTACGATATATTGTACTTTACTGGGTGGGAATCTTGTGACTTAGAAGAGTAAACAAACAAAGTGTTGTATCTAAATCTAGTGCTGATGCGGAATTCAGAGCAATGGCACAAGAGATATGTGAACTACTTTGGTTGAAAATGATAGTATAAGACTTGTAGATAAAGAGTGATGAACCAATAGACTTTATTGAGATGATAAATTTGCTATTAGCATAGCCCATAATCTAATGCAGCATAATAGAACCAAACATATTGAAGTTGACAGACACTTCATCAAAGAAAAGTTAGATAGTAGTCTTATTTGCACTTCATATGTTTCTTCTCAAGACAATGTTGAAGATCTTTTAACTAAAGGGCTGGACAACAATAACATTGAAAAGATTGTTTCCAAACAGAGAATGATAGATATTTATTCACCAGTTTGAGGTAGGTGTTGTAAATAAGTTACTTTTGCTATTGTCAGTAGTTATTCATATTTGGCTTTTAGTCCATTAGTTAGGCCCATTAGATTATAATATTAATCTTATATAAAGAGATTACTGCTTGTAATTTTTATATACTCAAAATATATTGTTCAGATTTCACAGTAAGTAAATAATGTTGGATAGTATACCATTTAGCCTTACTTTGCTCAATTTTCTCAAGCTTTTCAATAATCTCTTGCGAAAGGAATGGTGAAGGTGATCCACCAAGCCAAATAGTTAGATGGCTACTTACCTGATTCAAATAAATTAAGTAATAGAAGCATAGATTACTCTAAGTTGTAATCAAAAGTAAATCACAAAACAAAATTCCATCATATAAGAAAGCAATTTCTGCATTCTGAAACAGTTGTTATCAAAAGTTAAAAGCCATCAAAAGACTTTTTTCTTTTTTTAAAAACTTCAAAAAGACCCTATCTCAAGTTATTGGTTTAGGTAAGAGTAATTTTCCATCTATCATTCATCATGGCATGTTATTGCATATCAAATTATAAGAGTGAGAAATTTTAAAAAAATAAAACAAATTGACACACCTGTGTTTTATCCTGTTGAGTAAAGCAGTGGATTATATGTTTTGATTCAGGACATAATACTTTAAAGTTTCTAGAACATCGCAAGGGATAATACTTTCATTGAAGAGCACTTATTCTTCTGAATTGATGTTTTAAGAATGATATGCCAGAAAAACAAAGTAATAAGTGAAACAAAGTAACTCATCAAACCTACAAACTAATAAGTGATTTAGTAGGCCACTATCAAGCAATTCATCAAAAATACCAACTAATAAGTGAAACAAAGTAACTCATCAAACCTACAAACTAATAAGTGACTTAGTAGGCCACTATCAAGCAATTCATCAAACATACCAACTAATAAGTGAAACAAAGTAACTCTTCAAACCTACAAACTAATAATTGATTTAGTAGGCCACTATCAAGCAATTCATCAAACATACCGACTAATAAGTGAAACAAAGTAATACACTCATCAAATACATATTTAGCCACAAGCCCTACATGCATGTACATAAATCAAAACGTAACAGAAAAATGTTCAAAAATATACCCAACAAACATGCATAAGTCAATAATATAATGTGAAATCTGAAACATGAATACCTGAACTGTGTCTTGTGAAAGTGTGAATCATGAACACTACAAAAACCACAAAATCTGAAGCGTGGAGGAGGGAATCTCGAACAAACTCAGTCGCTAAGAGTGAAGTTGTTAATCGCGAGCAAGAAATCGGCCGCGAAGATTGAACAGTGTGAAATGAATTAATCACAAACAAGATTGCAATGTGAGAATCGTGAATCGAGAATCAAAATGTAGGCTTTTGATTATCATAAATCAGTCTGGGAGTAGGGCTAGCGATTGCACAGGATGAAAAGCATATCAGACGAAGAATAAACTTGGGTTTGGATCATTGTTGGTTAAGGTCATCCTCAATTGGTTATGGTCACCCATCCAAATGTAGGAAATGGGCCAGCTGATATACAAACACAAATATCCGTTTTTTATAACCGGATTTGGATATGATTCTAGATAAACCACTTATCCAACTAAAATGAACACCCTAAAGAAGATTGCATGATTGGTAAGTAGACAAGTTATTTGATTGGTAGTGAAGGTGCACAAAAAACAGATATATTAATGATAATCCTAAAATTATATACAACCTAGAAAGTTACTAATAAGTCACTCAAAAAACAGATATATTCAAAGCTATGAAAAACACAAACACGGACACCGGACGTGACAGTGGCATTAATATATTGACACCGATAATAATATGACTGAATGTAATAACACATGTCGTTGTCATGTCACACACTAACACATCCTAGACATCGGACACGTTTTCCATAACAATTGTCGGTGTTTAAGTTATTCTAAGCTTTGGCGCACCCAGCAAATCTAGCAGGACTAAACTTTTCAAGATCAACAATGGTAGAATGACCATCAAGAACAAGCTCGGCAACAGCAGCTCCAGTGGCAGGACCATTTAGAATACCCCAGCGGCTATGTCCAGTCGCTACATAACACCCCTTCACCCCAGTAATCTCTCCTATGATCGGCACTCCATCATCAGTGCCCGGTAGAAAGCACGCTTGCTCCACCTTCAATCCTTCTTCCCCAAGATGGGTTGACACAGTCTTAGCCACCCTCTTCAGCATTTCAATGGATTCATTGTCACCCCTTATCTCCTCTGGATTATCCGGTACTTCTTCCTCCTTCGACACCCCACACACATACACTTCCCCTAGAAAAATACATTATTTTTATCTAAAATATTCTTCTTTTTCATTGACTATATAAGTCTTACATTATTCATATTGTTTTGTTATTATCAATATATATCATTTCTATTTTACATTTCTCTATTATTATATACTATTTTTCTATTAAAAATAAGAATGGTAATGGGTAAAGTACTTGCATTTGATTGAAATATGGTAAATTCATACCTGTTGGATGAGGGTATACTTCAGGGTCAAGAGGTGCTCTTTGTAGCTAAGAAAAAGAGCATGAGGTGTTATGGCATTGGGTTCTCTGGGTTCCAAAACAATACTATGAGCCTTAAGCCCCGAAACTCGAAACCTGGAAGACAACAACTCAAGCTTACTAAGGGCCCAATGCCAAAACCACAGCATCAGCATCCACAACCAACCCTCCCTCTAGAACCACCGATCCAACTCTTCCTCCATCCGCTTCCAACCACTTCAATTTCCCAATCACGATTTTCACACCATACTTCTCCACGGCGTTCTCAATAAGCGTCCGGGTAAAGAGTTGCGGGTGCACCTGCGCCGTCGTTTCGTGAGTCCCAATCGTCTTAGGCCCACGGGCCGGTCCATCAAACAAGATGGCAACAATTCAGAAGAACTAGAAGAAGTGGAACTAGAACTGCGCTTTGATTCTTCGGTTACGGTGAGGCTGAGAGCTGAGAGCGATCTATAACCGTACGATCGTGAGCCGTTAAGCTCTTGAGAGAGTGAACAAGGGAGATTGAAGCTAGTGCGAGCGAGTTGTTCGATTGGACCTCCGTCGCACCAATCTAAGGCGAGGAATCCACCGGCTTTGCCGGAAGCGGCGCATGCGATTTTGGATTTTTCAATGAGAGTGACGGCGGCGCCTTTCATGGCGAGGAAGTAAGCGGTGCATACACCGATGACTCCGCCGCCGCAAACAACTACTTTTTTTGGAGGATGAGGTGGATTGTATTGAATTGATTTGATAGTGGAAATGCGGATTCTGGTTTGGGGAAATAGATTGAGAGTTGTTGAGTGAGGAATCCCCACTGTTAGATTCATATTAGTTTGTTTTTTTTAATCTGACACGTGGCTTTAGAATGTCGCTGGACAAAGGGTTGGTCTAGTCGTCAGCCTTGGGTCTTGAGAATGTCGTTCTAATCCAGCTAAATGCTACCAATTTTTGTATTGGATCACTTCATATAGAATGTTGTTTTGACTTTCTCCACAATAAAATAAAATAAATTTTTTTAAAAACATAATAAATTAGTTTTTATAATTTTTTTAATATATACAAATATTTAAATAAATTATAAATTTTATATATATATATATATATATGATTTTTGTTTTGAAATTATTGTCAAAAATATTTAAACTAATAATAAAATTGTTTTATTATTATTCAATATTTTGACAAGTAACTTCATCTTTTCGTTATTATTTAATATTTTGATCAGTAATTTCATATTGATTAGTAATTTCATGTCTTTGTTATTATTAAATATTTTGATCAGTAATTTCATATTCTCGTTAATATTTAATATTTTGATCAATAACTTCATATTCCTGTTAATATTTAATATTTTGATCAGTAATTTAATATTTTCGTTCATATTCAATATTTTGATGAATAATTTTATGTTCTCGTTAATATTTAATATTTTGATTAGTAATTTCATGTTTTTGTTAATATAGTTTGATCTATAATTTCATGTTCCCGTTAATATTTAAAAATTTGATCAATAACTTTATGTTTCCGTTAATATTTAATACTTTAATTAATAACTTCATGTTCGCATTAACATTCAACAATTTTATTAATAATTTCATGTTATAGGAATATTAAATTAATAGTTTGATATGATTAATTGTGCGTTCACATAGTATTGATGTGTTACCAGTGCGTTCACACAGGTTTGGTGTGTTACACACATTTATTTTCAAAGATATAATAAAAAAATAAAATAAATCTTTAAAAATTAACACATTTTCTCGTGTTTGGATTAATACATTATTTTTACTTTTGTTTTCTTTAATTGTACAAAAAAAAGTAATAACTTGTGCGCTCGCACGAACTTTGATATGATTACTAATGCATTTACATGATACTGGTGTGTTACCCGTGCGTTCGCACGGGTATTAGTATGATACGTGTATTTGTTCCTAAAATATAATAAAAATAAAACGAGAATTTTTTAAAAGAGATAATAAATCAGCGCTTATAATTCTTTCAATATATAAAAATATTTGTTTTGGAATTATTGTCGAAAATATTTAAATCAATAATAAAGTTGTTCTATTATTATTCAATATTTTAATCAATAACTTCACGTTTCCGTTAATATTCAATAGTTTGATCAATAATTTCATGTTTCAGTTAATATTCAATATTTTAATTAGTAATTTCATGTTTTCGTTAATATTCAATAGTTTGTTTAATAACTTCATGTTCTCATTAATATTCAATATGTTAATCAATAACTTTGTGTTCTCATTAATATTCAATATTTGATCATTAACTTCATGTTCCAGATGATATTTAATATTTTAATTAATAACTATATGTTCACGTTGATATTTAATAGTTTGATCAATAACATCATGTTTTCGTTAATATTTGATATTTTAATTAATAAATTGATGTTATCGTTATTATTCAATATTTTGATCAGTAATTTCATGTTCTCGTAAATATTAAATATTTTTATTAGTAACTTTATATTGCCTTTAATATTCATGATGACTTTTTGTGATCATAAAATAATTAAGAATATTTCATATTATCATGTAATTTTGATACTATTTAATTCACACATTATTTATGTATTTATTCTAGACCACAATACTATATTTTATAATCTTACTAATTTTTATAATATACTCCCTCTGTTCCTTTTTAAGTCTCGTTTTAGAATAATTTTTATGTTCTTATTTAAGTGTCATTTTAACTTTTTAGGTTACAATTTATCAATAATACCCTTATTTTTTCAATAACTACACTTTACATTTTCCAAGAATTTCTCTTTTTTCAATATAATTCATGGTCTTGGTCATTCATTGAAAATTAAATTGCAACAACAATATACACCGAATAAGTCCAATGTTACACAGAAAAATATGTTAACTTTAAATTCTGTCAAAGAAAAATTTCAACAATTCATGAGTTAGAATTCTATAAAAAGGATTAGTAATATCCTTAAAATTACCAAGTGAAAATTTTATGATTGAAAAAACAAGAGACTCCATAGATGTTCAAAAGGAAGAAAAAATGAAAGACTCATTGAAACAAAAAGAAGGAGAAAAAGTGGAAGACTCATTGGAACAATATGAAGGAGAAATAGTTGAAGACTCTTTTGATAAGATACAAGAACAAGATGAAAAAGAGGCAGGAGAAGTATCATTAAGAGTTGTGCTGGATTTTGATTTGAATGAAGAAGCGGATTATGAATTTGATTTGAACAAATTTCCAGAAGAAGAAACAGGAAAAAACGGAGCAGAATCTTCCAAACATGTTGAGTTTTGATATGTGTCAAAAAAGATTATAAAAAAACTTCTTCCTAAATTTTATTGAAAAATCTTGTTACTACTCAAAAAAGCTTTGTACGTGGATTTAGATTGAGTATCTCTTTTTTCAATTCTTGGTACTACTTTTATGCCTAAAATTTTGGAACAATAATTGAAAAACTTTGTTATTGCTTTTACATGCATTGCCATTCTTAGTTTTTTTTAATTTACTTTTATGTGTTCTTATTTTAATGGTCACCGCCAATTGCATACCCGTAGCATTGGACACCTATTGAACATATCTATGCAATCTTGGTAAAGAGATACGTAAAGAATCTTCTTGATGAGACAATTGTATATATTCAATAGTCTTGAAAAATTAAAACATCACAAACTTTTAAAAAAAGTTACTTATAATTTTAAAATGTGACTACATCCCAGTCACAATAAGTATCACTCAATATTTAAGTAATTCTTAACTTCTTGTACTAATATTGGATCACACTTCATTTGAATAGGTAGTTGTCTTATTCTTTCTAGTCTTTCCTTATTCACATGTGGAATTTTATGCGATTGGACTTAATTGAAGGAAAATTTTCAAATGATTTTACCACTGCACCGATTGTATAGCTGAGAAAAATCCAAGATCTAATATATTTAAATCAGGAGAATTGGCAGGTTGGCACATTAAACGTATATCAAACTCATCCTTGGTGGCTGCTTCAATAAAGGTAGGATCATTATGGTTAATATGCGTCCTTGTGTTATCCTGTTGGATAAATATTGTTGACTCTAAGTCCTCTCTTGGCCATTTTCCCCTTATAGTCGGTAAGACTTTGTCAATAAGGAATGATCTTACCACGTCTCTCTTTACGAAAGTTATTGCTTTTGTCTCCATTGTACCTGCAACTCTGTTAATACTTGACCTTTTAGATGGTTCATGGGTAACAAACGGAAAAACCCCAATTTTACCTGAGAAAATTTCATTTTCATCTGAGTTAAATCGTGGTCGAGTTTGAGCAACCAAGAACATAACTTTTGCAATGAAATTTTTGCTCTTACATATACGATATGAGTCATCCTCATCTGGGAGCAAATAATACTTCTCATATTTTTTAGTCATGTAAAACCACTTCTCATCAATATGAATAATATTGTGCATACTTTTAAACATTGGGTCATTTTGCGTACCTTGAAACATTGATAAACAAAATTCCAACCTAGATCTTTTGTTCTCTTCTTTCAATAATGGCTTTATGGAATTTGAGTTACGCCGTATAGCCCCTAGTTTTATAAGCCTGAATATCGATGTTGGATTTGTTTTCAGCGCAAAAGTTAAAGATCGAATGTTTGTTCTTTGACTTAAAGGAACTTCACGAATTTGATTCTCATCTATTGAAATTCTCTTACGTCCACAATTTTTTGTCTTCCTATGAGAGACATCATGTGCTTCACTTTCTTTTGCTCTTTTCCAAATACGTTGAGCCGTTCTCAGAGGAACCAAATATAATAAAGCCACGTCATTTGTATCTCCTTTACGTAATTTACCATCAACACTTTTTTGTAGTAACTCATGATAAATAGATATGCGCTCTTCATTGCTTAAGATTCTTAATATATTTTTTTCCTCTTGGCTCTGCTTCAATATTTTCTGCAAAGGTACATATTTTCTTAAAGATTAACGCTACTGTGTAAATAATTGAGCTGCTTTAATAAATAATTGAAGGACAAAACACGCTACTGTGTAACAATAGAAATTATACTGTGTAATTTAGAGAAAAACAATAGAATATGAAAATGATCATATTGTGTAAATTTAAAAAAACAATAGAAATCTCCTAAAAGCAATCACTTCCAGTAATTTTAAAAATGAACTTTCCAAAAGACTACTTGGCACATACATAAAAGTGAAAGTAATTAACTATACTTAAAAAGGATAAACGTACCAATGCCATTGTTGGCTTCAACCTCTTCTTCTAAGTTATCTTCATCAAACTCATTAAATTCACCAATATTTAAAGTCATATTTGATAACTTCTATATGCTGTGAACATCTAACATGAAGCTCTCTTATATGTACTACTGGTTTCAATTATTTTGGTGGGAAGCTTAAGCTTTGATTAAAAAAATTGGTGGGAATTGATTAATCTTGCCACTAGATTTATTTTTCACTTAGCCTTGAAACAAGTGGAGTACGTGTAGCAAATTTCCAAAATTTAGAGTAATTGAAAACATAAATGGTTTAATGAGACAGGAGAGAGTTTTATAAAAAAAAATTAAAAAATTAATTATTGGAGAGAGAAAGTATATGACTGATTTTTATTTCATTAAAATCAATACGAGGGTAGATTGTGAAAAAAACTTTAGTAATTCACTTTCTTGGTTTAAGAGTTTTATGCTATAACGACACTTAAAAAGGAACAGAGGGAGTAATAAATTATCTTTCATAATCTTAAATTTTTAATGTATTTCACTCATTTTATTTTATGTCTCGTTCTATTAGTATTTACATAGAAATAAAAAAAATGAATAAAAAAAAGAGTTTATTATTTTTT